TCGAGCGCTTCAAGTTAGTTGGAGATCAGTTTGAATTCTAACATGGATGGCCCGAGGCGTTTAGAACTCACATTCGAGTTCAACTTCGAGGTTCGCGTAGGTAAGCATTGGCAGCGAGAGGCCCAAAGAGGGGTCTTGACGATGCAAACGTCGAATTTGACCTCATTGCGACGCCCCTCTGGGAGCGTGAGGTTGAATTATAGCTTATAGACTCAAATGTGAGTTCTAACCGCCTCGAGACCTCCAAATTGCTCAAATCGAGGTCTAACCGCCTCGGGCCCTCCGCGTAGAACTCAAGTTGAATTCTAACTGCCTCAAGCTCTCCAAGTTAAAACTCCAGTTGATTTCTAACCGCCTCGAGCCCTCCAAATGAGAACTCAACTTGAGTTCGGGGCCCGGAGCGGCTAGAACTCACATGTGAGTTCTAACCGCCTCGATCCCTCCAAAGCAGAACTCAAATAGAGCTCTAGCCACCTCGAGCCCTCCAAGTTACTACCCACCTCGAGGCCCTCAAGTTAGAACTCGAATTCGGTTCTAACCGCCTGGGGCCCTCCAAGTTCTAACTCAACTCGAGTTCGTCACATTCACCATCACAATGACTATCACCATCACCATCAACATCATCGTCATCATCACCATCACCTTCACCTTCACCTTCACCATCATCGTCATTGTCATCATCGTCATCATTACCATCATAGTCACCATTAGCATCACCACCACCATCACCATCACCATCACCACCATCACCAGAATCGCCATCATCATCGTCAACATCATCATCACCGTCATCATCTCCTTCACCTTCACCATCAGCATCATCATAATAACCATCACCATCACCATCATTACTGACATCATCATCATCATCATCACCACCACCACCACCACCACCACCACCACCACCACCACCACCACCACCATCATCATCATCATCATCATCATCATCATCATCATCATCATCATCATCATCATCATCATCATCATCATCATCATCATCATCATCATCACCATCATCATCATCATCATCTTGATCATCGTCAACACCATCATCATCAACACCATCATCACCACCAACCATCATCGTCGTTGTTATTTTTTAGCATCACCATCATCAGCGTCATCATCCGTCACCATGGAAAACACAGTCACCAGAGAGAGCACCCGCGCTACCGACAGCCAGCTAGGATGGGGGGGACTTGGGATAGAAGGATGTATTGCGACATCCTTGGCGCATCCAGGGTTGGTTCTGTATATCTTCCTCCTCCTCTTCCTCCTCCTCGTCCTCCTCGCCGTCGTCCTCCGCCTCCCCGTCCTCCTCCAGAGTGGATGTTTTGAACCGTTTGCTCATCGAGAAGCATTTTTTTCTCACCTGCGAGCCGTTCGCATCAAGAGCAGACTGAGGAGAGATCGCGATGCAGATCCGCAACCCCAATTGAAGGGGGTGAAGGCCGATGCTGCACATGAGGATTGCTCAGCGAGAAGCATGCCAATAGTGTTACAATAAGAAGAAGAAACTCAAGCGCACAAGACGACTGACGTGAAAACGGCACCGGCGGCGCAGCGTTCAGCAGCTGCTTCGCAACGCTCGCCGGGCCTGCTGGCTGGCGTTGTTTGCGACGATCTCAGGGGGCCCCGCTTCCTCCCCCTCCTCCTTGGGCCAAAACGGCTGCGGACTGTCCTCCTCCTTCTCCCCTTTCTCCTCCTTCTCCTCCTTCTCCTCCTTCTGCTCCTTCTCCTCCTACTCCTCCTTCTCCTCCTCCTCCTCCCCATCCCTCCCTCCCTCCCCCTCCCTCCCTCCTCGTTGGCCGTCGCCGCCGTCGCCGCCACCGCTGCCGCTGCCGCCCCCCCGCCTGGAACGGCGCCCCGTGCAGGGACTGCGCGTCCGGCAGGATCTCCACGCCGCACACCCGCAGGCCTCGGCGGCGGGCGGCACGCCATTGCCGCCGCCCGCGACGCCGTCACCACATCTGTGGAGGGAGCTACACTTCGGTCGCTACACTTAGGTCGCACTACACATGTGTTGAGGGAGCTACGCTTGGGTCGCTACACTCAGGTCGCTGCCACATCTGTTGAGGGAGCTACACTTAGGTCGGGCCTGTCCTCCTACAAGGGGGTTTTGGACGAAACCATGTGGCACAAAAGAAGAAACAAATGCAAACATTGGTCAACACATCGCCCCCAGGCTATGTGTTGACTGGGCCACGTCTGGCTTAGAACTACACGAAGGCGCCTCCTCTCCCCCTCAGACCTCCATCTCACCCCTCTCCTCCGTCCTCCCTCCCGCTTGCCGTCGTCTCTTTCTCCCCGATGCGGGCCCCCCAAAGGTCCCGACCTCCTCTGCCCCAAACTCTCTCCGTCATCCCCAGTAGCTCTTGACGGCCACACGGCCCAGCGACGGCCCCCAGAGGCTGAAAACGGCAACAAAAACGACTCGTCGCGCTTCCCTCCGCGCGACGCGACGATGTCTGGGTCGAGGTCACCTGGGTCGCCTCGGCGGTGGACAAACCTCCCTTTATATGACCTTCCCTTCGTGAAAACGGCCTGGGACCGAAACCGACGGACCTGGACCCGCAAAAATAACGGGTCGCCTTACTCCAAAGCCCTTATCAATCGTCACCCGGGTCCGGTTTTTCAGGGCGCCTTCTTGGTCACTGGGGGGATCCGGTTTATTAGGGCGCTTCCTTTGGAGTGGAGCTCAAGGGGGTCCGGTTTTTATTCAAGCGCCCCGTCGAAGAGGGGGGTCCGGAATAGTGGGTCGCATTTGGAGGGGTCTGGTCTTCTAGGGGGGGTGTCGACAGATAGGAGATTTGGAGTAAGCACGCTGGGCACGCACACACCGGGTCAACTATCTTCGCGCTTCGCGCTCCGGCGCCGCACCCTGGACAAGAACGGCAGCGCTGCGGCTCGAGCAGCCGAGCGCGACGCGCGGGTCATCCTCGCGCCTCTGCGGGCGCCCGGCTTGGGAAGCGGGCTGCCTCCCGCGGATCCAGCGCGAAGGCAGGCCACGAGCAAATCGGGCCCGACCAACGCAAACCCTCGAGCCCTCTCTGCTGCTGCTGCTGCTGCTGCTGCTGCTGCTGGTCCTCCTCCTCCTCCTGGAGCCGATGGGATATCGCGTCGGGCCCTCTCGTCCCGTTTCGGCCCCCGGGGCCCTCACGTATCGACCACGCCCGATACATCATTCGGATGGATTCTGTCGAACAGCCCAGCGGTTTTCCTTCGGCGACGTCGGAGCTCGGAGGCCCCCCGAGAGCTGGCGAGCGGGGGGGACGAGCGGGGACGGGACTGCCAAACTGGCCTCCGCCCCGCGCCCGTGTGGGCCAGCGTGTCCAGTGACGGGTGAGGGTTGCCTTGCCGTTGCAGCAGGGTGGAGCCGCCGTGTGTGGGTGATTGACAGTTCTCGTCGCGCGTTCCCGCTCCATCTTCGCCCCGCCCAGCTCGGCGGCGGCCTCGCTGCGGATCCTGTCCACATTTTCAGGGTTAAGGTCGCTGTTGTCCTTCACCTGGTCGCTCAGATTTGCGCTGACTAACTCGTGCCCTGTGTATCCAGACACAGAGGTTCTTGCAAATGAATCACGCCGCCATTTGCTGAGCACTGTCCGTCAGTGCTGTCCAGTCTTTCCTGTAGGTAAGCGATCGAATCGATGATCACATTTCTTGCGTCTTGGATGCTGTATCAGCTGCTCCGCGTGTTGCTTGGGTCCATCCACCATGCTGCAGCAAGCTCCACTCGCATAGATCGGTCAATATTGTTCTGATCCAACTGCGTTGCTCGTTCGTTCGATGCCAGTGAGAGCTGCCCGACACCGTCTCTACACTATCAGCTCCGATCTGAAATTGTTGGTGCTGTAGAAGGTTTTCTACAACACTGACGCGCTCGATGAGGTGTGTGACCCCTTGGCCGGGCACTCGTTGGCCTGCATACAGTCGGGGCGTTGACCCAAGGAACCCCAAATAAGGAGCGAGGCCCCTTTTTCCCAATAAGTTAACCTTCGATTTCCGGTCGAAAACAGAAGGAAAGCCTGAGGCAAACTTTGAAACAATCAAGGTACACCGAGCCCCTCCCCAACGAAAAGGGTTCCTTCTTCAAGACCCCTACTGTATCTGTCTTCAGCGTTTGCCGCTACTATTTCGCCAACGACAGCCCGTGGCTGTGGGTCATCACTACGTTCTTCCTGCGTTTGTGACGCATGTGCGGACCTCTCGCAGGACGAACGCACTCTGTGAACCAGAGCATATTGTTGCTATGCGAACTTGTTGCTCTGCCTCTGCAGCGCCTGCTGTTGCGCAATCGCGGTCTGTTCGCTCATGTGCTGGAGCATGTCATCGGTCGAAATCGCCCCTGATTGTGAGGGTGGGGGCAGCGGCAAGTGGCCCTGCTGCGACTTGCGTATCCTGCAATTTTTGGTCTACACCACGAGGTGAAACCTGTCGCGCTCGGTCAGGTGGGTACGCGAGGGTTTCTTGGCTCTGCGGGTCTACCCGCAGGAGCTTCCTGATTCCCACGCTTAGGTGCCATGGGGTAAGGGTTAGACATCCTCCCTCCGAGTCCATTCGGGATCCGGCCGTGCCTGTGCTGGCGGCAGGTTGCCTTGCCGCGCGAGCCCCTTCAAGAACTCGTGGCGGTTTGGGGGTGACCGTTGCCTTTGCCGTTTGCCGTCAGCGCGGTCTACCGGTGGGGCTTGTCCGTGCCCCGGTGCCTGTCATCGGACAGCATGTTGTGCGTTCCCGGTGCCGAAAGACGTATCGGAGATGATGGCCTCGAGGTTTGCTTCTAGCGTGCCCGAAGTCTCGACCTTACTGAGTGCGTAGCATTGCGTCGGCTGGTGACCTGAAGTTGGAGTTGCTTCAGCCTTCGGGCTAAAGCTGGCGCCCTTGAGTTAAGGCCCTTGCTCGCCGTCGAAGGTGGCCAAGTTCCAATAACAAAATATTGAATCCAGCCGTGGCGACGTAAACGACAAGTCACCTTATCGCGTCGGCCCCAAGGCTAACATTTTCCCGTTTGCCATGCGACTGACGAGCGCGAAGACGCAAAAGAGGAACGCGCGCACGGATCTCTCCTTTGTTGCCAGCGCCTCGCGAGCCCAGAGACTGCGCGGGACGAATCATTCTTCCTCAATCCTCGGATTGAGGGATTGAAGGAGAGGAATCGGGGGAGACCAAGACGGACCACTGACCTCCCCCAAACCAGCGGGGCTATCTGTTTAAAACAAAGTACACCGAACACTAGGCGTAAAAATACCGCGACCCCGATCAGGGGTCTTCAGTTCCAAAGCAACTCAAATCAGTTCTTTTTTTTGTATGGTACGCGGCAGCGCGGCCTTGTTAGAAGTAGCAAGCGAAACGGCTTACAAATAGTCGGCGAGGCTGTCGACTAGCTCGGAAGCAACACGGCGCGGCCAGGCGGTTGGAAGCGGGACGAGGACAAGAATAATGAGGATGATGGTGATGACGATAAGATGTGAGATGACGAGCAAGAAGATCATACATACTACTTCTAGCAATCCTTGCCTGGGATTACAGTCTTGAATCCGGGCAATGCCTTGAACTTTGATATGGCACCCTTTAGTTTATCCGCGATTTGATCCCTGACCCCATCGTAGTCGAATGTCGAGGAGTCAGGCTCCACCAACTCGTAGGAATCCATCGCCATCCTCGCAGCCTTCCATGGTTGAAGAACTCTGGAAACCTCGGACTTGTTCGTCTCTAGAAAATCTGCAAGCTCGTCCAAATGCTCCGTCTTCTCGTTGATGAATAGGAACGCGACTGGGAACTCGCACTGGTGGTAGAAGGAGCCGAAATGCCGCTCGATCTGGAGAAAATCACCACCTGGGTCGTTTAACCACGCCGACAAATTGTTCTTGTCTGCCGATTCATTCTTCGGCCACTTATCACTACGAACTTTGAATGCCTGGTTGCGCAGCCAACCTCTCTTGTCCAAAGATATGACTGCCTTGACGGGGTCCCCGTAAATGTACAAGATCTTATCGGGAGCCCTTTGTCGGATCCGGTCACCGAACGGGATGTGTTTCACCTTGTCCACGTCGCCGCGATGATTGGTGGCAATCGGGGGCTGCAGCCGCATCAGCTCTCGCATGATGCCCGTGGTCCCCACGCCCCCGATGGAGGAGACGTGGAGGCGGAGACGCGGAGGCTCGACGAGCTCGTTGTCGACTGGCAGAGCGGAAGACTGGACGACCAACTCGAGTCGATCGCGGAACGCCGAGAGCCAGCGCCTGTGGCAACCGTCGTCGCGCCCCGCGCCCGGCACGATCACCGGCACGGATCCGCGCTCGGCGACCTCCTGAGCCCAGCTGTTGCCGCTGTTCCCAGGCCACACGGGCGCAGACTGGCCGGTCTCCAGGAGCGCCTCCGAGGCCGCGGGCGGCAGCACCACGTACTCGTTGTCCGTCTCGGCCCACTGCCGCGCGGCCCTCTCGTCCCAGCCCTCGGAGAAGACGGCGCTTGCGTCGATGCGCATGCAGAAGTCCTCGAGCTCGTCGGCGTCCCCGAGCAGCATCTGCTGCCGCCCACGATTGCCGGTGGGGCCCTCGGCCCGCGGCGCGGCCATGTGGTACATGCGGACGCGCTGGGCCTCACCGCAGGCAGCGAGCGACTGGCGCGCGTTCTCCCGCGCGCCCGGCAGCGCCCCCAGCGCGCCGCAGAGGCGGGCGGCCAGCGGCGCCTCCAGCGCGGCCTGCCGCGCCCGGGAGCTCTGCTGCACCACGCCGACGAGGACGCGCGAAGGCCGGCGGGCCCTCTCGAACATGACCCTGAGCGCCTCGACGAGCTCCGGCTCGGAGAGCGAGGGCAGCAGCACCGTCACCTGGGTCGCGTTGCGCACATCCTCAGTGCGGTCGTAGCCAGGCCGCGCGTCCACCTGCGGCTGCTGGTCGGCTGGTCTCCTGGTGAGCACGGCCGCCGCCAGTGCCGGCAGCACTGCAGCCACCACGGGGCGCATGGGAGGACGGGCGCAGCCTCGGCTGGCGGGCTTCAAGGGAGTGTACTGTTACGGTCAGCCGGCGTGAAGTCGGCTTGAGCCAACTTGAGCCAAACTAACGCGAACTAACGCGATGCAAAGCATTGCTTGATATTGATTGGCATCGCTTCGCATTGCTTGGCGTTGCTCTGCAATGATGGGCATTCCTTGGCAGTGCTGGCATTCCTCGGCATTGCTCGGCAATGCAACGACTGGGGCACCCCCACAAAACAAGGCCAAGGAACCCGAGAAAGAAATGCAAGGGACAAAATCGGGGAACCGAATGAGGACCGGGGAACCCAAGGGACAAACACTTCCTTTCCTGCAATCCCACCCGGCCATCCTTGAGAAGATAGGCGGGCACTTATTCTTGTACATCAATGCGCCATGTCCTGCGTGCTCGTCCGTTGTGACAGAATGTAACGACTTTGCCGCGCAGGACGGACAAAACAAGGGAACCCGAACACCGCCTAAACAACACCAAGACCAGGCAACCGAGCAACGTCGGGGGCTGCCTCTGAACTGGCACCCCGCACCCACTGGTTCTTTCACAAGACAAGCAAGAACCGCTTAGGCAAACCTAACTACATAAACAACTTCAAGCCGTTACGCGGATGCAGGGCGGTCCATCTTCAAAACGAGCGTTTCGCTTGAGACTCTGCTGATCTTTGCTATCCGGAAAGTGCAATTCATGGAGGGCGGCTCCTTTTCGAATCGGGGCTCTCGCTTAAGACTTCCTCAGGTTTGATGACCAGGCGCCTTTTGGACAAACATTGCTCGGATTGGGAGCAGCTCTTTTTCAAGGCGGGGCTCTCGCGCAATACTTCCTTGCATTTCATGATCATACATCGTCACCGTCCTTCTAGCTAGAAGCGTGGATGGCAACTTATTGTCAAAACGGGGACCTCGCCGCGCCTGAATTGCAGAACCATGGGGACCTCGTCTTTCAAAGGGGGCACTTCCCACAGTGGAAAAGAATTCGTGTATGGGGCCTGTGGAGAGGGTGATTGGGACGGGTGGGCGTATTGTAGCTTTGTTCGGGGACCTTTTGTTTGCCGTGGTCCTGTTTCTCCTCTTCCCACGGGTAATCTCTATGTATGCTTATGTAACAGTATGTTCTTCCCCGCCGGATCTCCCTCTAGGATTCTTCTCCTCCTCCTCGTTCTCCCTCGTAATTCTCCCCACCCCCACGCTCTCGTCCTCATCTCCCTCTTACTCCTCATCGTTCTTCTTATTCTTCTCCAAATGAGCATTTTTTCACCACCCTCGAAGCAATATTATGACGACGATGATGAGGATGAGCAGGATGAGGTGGACGAGGACAACGAGAAATATGAAGTGGAGGAACGTGAGGAAGAGGAAAGCAATGATGAGCAAGGGAAACGCGAATGAACGAGAATATCGCGCTAGCTGGCTTTGATGATTAGAAGCTCGTCTTTTGTGGGGCGCCACGTCTCAAGTGTCTGGCTCCTGCTCGCTGAAGCCTACCAGTTTCGCACAGTCTTTGGGCATGGGGGACTTCACGTGCCAGAAGCAGTCGAAAGCCGAAACAGCAAATACAAAACCAATCATGAAAACCATGGGTGCCAGGGTCCGGCAGTCGGCGGCGCGCAAAAGGGCGTGGGACGGGGGTGTGGTGAGGCGGCCTTCCAACGAGGCGCCCCGCCTCCTGGAGGCCCTCCAGCCTTCCGAGAAGCCTCCTCCGTAGAGGCTTCCGAGATGGGGTTGGCCCCTTCTAAGGACCCCCCCTCTCGCTCCCCCTTCTTATTCACCCTCCTCGACGTCCCCCACTCTCCCCCTCCTGCTGCTCCCCCTCCCCCTCTTCCTCCTCCTCCTCCTCTCCTCCTCCTCCTCCTCCTTCCTCCTCCTCCCTCCACCTCCTCCTCCTCCTCCTCCTCCTCCTCCTCCTCCTCCTCCTCCTCCACCTCCTCTCCTCCTCCTCCTCCTCCTCCTCCTCCTCCTCCTCCCTCCTCCTCCTCCTCTCCTCCTCCTCCTCCTCCTTCCTCCTCCTCCTCCTCCTCCCTCCTCCTCCTCCTCCTCCCCTCCTCCTCCTCCTCCTCCTCCTCCTCCTCCCCCTCCTCCTCCTCCTCCTCCTCCTCCTCCTTCCTCCTCCTCCCTCCTCCTCCTCCTTCTTCTCTCCTCCTCCTTCTCCTCCTCCTCCTCCTCCTCCTCCTCCTCCTCCTCCTCCTCCTCCTCCTCCTCCTCCTCTCCTCCTCCTCCTCCTCCTCCTCCTCCTCTCTCCTCCTCCTCCTCTCCTCCTCCGCCTCCTCCTCCTCCTCCTCCTCCTCCTCCTCCTCCCCCTCCTCCTCCTCTCCTCCTCCTCCTCCTCCTCCTCCTCCTCCTCCTCCTCCTCCTCCTCCTCCTCCTCCTCCTCCTCCTCCTCCTCCTCCTCCTCCTCCTCCTCCTCCTCCTCCCTCCTCCTCCTCCTCCTCCTCCTCCTCCCTCCTCCTGCTCCCCCGCCTCCTCCTCCTCCTCCTCCTCCTCCTCCTCCTCCTCCTCCTCCTCAACCTCGTGACAGGGCCGCGCCTGTCGCCCTGCCCTAGACTCCCCTGTGCGCGCCGCCTGGGCAGGCCTGCAGCCGCAGCCCCGCTGGCGCGCCCGCGGCGGGAGCCCGCCTGCGCACCGCCGCGGGTGCCCCCGCCGAGAGCGCGGGCCTCGGGCCCCTCCAGCCGCCGCCCGCGCCAAGCTGCTCCGGGACCTTGCGGGGCCCCCCAACACCGCGCGGTGCCGGACAGCGTGGTGGCCTCGAGATCCCCAATTCCCAGAGATCCGACGCTCCCAAAAAACTGGAGCGGCTGGATTTTGGCACTTTTCGGCCTCCGGGGGCCCTCGCCGGGCCTCGGGAGCGTCAAATAACGACTCAGGACGAAAGGCCGTCCCTGGAGAAGTGGTCTGGACCTGTGGAGTCCACGCACCAAAAAATTGGAGCAGCTGGATGTCTGGGATTACACCAGAGAAAGACCCCAATCAATGGATGCTTTGCAATGGGATCGATACAGTGATTGATAAGGAGATCGACCGGGAGCCCAGGAACCCGGAACCCACAGAAATCTGCCCGGAACCAATGACCAGGAACCCGGGAACCCGGGGCTGGGAGCTTGGGAACCCAGCCGGCTACCAACATCGGCGGGACACTGTCGTCAAGGCTTTCAATTTCCGCTAGGACCTCTTCAGAGCAAGCACTGTTTGGGGAATCACCTCACCGTGTGGTCCGCCTCCGCATGGCCTTGTCGCCCTGGGGGCCCCGGTCGCCCGAGACGTTCTCGGGACACGACTTGGGCCCCAAAACCGTGCGGTGACCCCGAATCTACACCGACTCACTACGCTGTGGTCACCACACCGTTTGGGCTCCCCCCGCAACCTGCAGGTACGACAGCGCGTCGCACCCGGGATCGTCCAGCCAGCCCTCTGTTGATTGCCCGCTCCGGTCGTCACCCAGCAGCGCTGCCGTGGCCAGCGCGCGCAGTCCCAGGAGCATCCAACGCACGGCCGAGTGCTGCATCGGCAAATCTGACTTAGAGGCCTCTCAAATAGAGTCCGAGTAGTTGGGGTCGGAGGGACGCGCTGCATCGCTGATGCATCGCCGATGTGTCGGTAATGCATCGGCGACGTCGGCGATGCATCGCCGACGTCGGCGTGAAGAAAATCGGGCTCCACATCGAGCAGTATCGCCAATGCATCGGCGATGCAGCGCGATCCTCCGATCCCATCTGCTCGGAGCCCATCTGGGACGCCCACATGACTGCTCGCCACCCCCGAACACTCAGGGAATGTCGGCGCACCCGTCCAGGCCGCCTGGGGAGCGCCAGGGAGTAGTAGCACGAAGTGGGCGTGATCATGAGCTGCGGCGTCTGGGAACTCTCGAGGGCTTGAGCCACAGAGGCGCCGGACTCCACCGACGTTAGCCCGATGGAATAGCTGCGGTCTTTGCTGCACGTTTGCATGGCTATGTTGCGTGTGGGTGGAAGCCCTGATTAAAACGTTTGTGCTTCGGCCGTTCTTGCCGCTCCATCCGCGGAAGCCCGCCAATACATGCGGTGCCCGCTGAACGCTCGCCATCTCTCTGGGATGTTGACTGCCCGCATTCCGAGCGGCGCCAGCGTTGATCCACCCAACCCTTCCGGGAGAGGGATATACACTCTCTTCGTAGCTCTCTGGAACAGAATATGTAGGAGCACAGCGCGGCCCCAATTAGGGGAACGCTTCCTAAACGGCACTGTCTGCCGTTGCTTAGCATTGCGTTGATCTGCTTGCCATTGCAATACTTTGCATTGCTTTTGCAAGTGTTGGCGTTGCTTGGCGTTGCTTGGTATTGCTTGGCGTTGCTTGGCATTGCCTGGTATTGCTTGGCGTTGCATGGCGTAGCTTGGCGTTGGTTGTCGTCGCTTGGCGCTGCTTTGCGTTGCTTGCGTTGCTTGGCGTTGCTTAGCAGTGCTTGGCGTTGCGTGGCGTTGCTTGACGTTAATTGGTATCGCTTGACACCAACACCAAACAATACGAATACAACCTCTTCGCAACGGTTGGGAATCAAGGCCAGGAAGCCTGGGGACAACTTCTTCAACATTGTAAGGGAACATAAACAAACAACTCATAGACATCCCCTTCAAAAATAATCCCAGCAACCCGGGGACGGCCTCTCGACCCACGCCTCGCATCCATCGTTTGCCCATAACATTAGAACAGACACTGGTAGACAACGTGGGCCCCACGCCGTGTGCTTTCTAGAAATTGGTGCTTCTAGAATTTGGCGCAACATGTGGTGCAATGCTTGTGGAGCAATGGGTATGTGTGGTGCAACCTAGATGGTTCAATCTGCGTTGTGCCACTGGTGTCACGCAATCTACTCTGTGCGACCTATGAGGTGCAATCTCCGATGTGCACTGTGTGTGTGGTGCAACCTATTTTGTGCAATTCATCCTTGTTCGCGGTGAGTTGTCAACCCCCATGCTCGCGCAAACATCCCACCCACCCACCCGCAACTCCTCCTCCTCCTCCTCCTCCTCCTCCTCCTCCTCCCAAACCCTACCGCGGCGACGCTTGCGATGGCCGCTTGGCGCTGGCCGGCGCCTCGCTGCGGCCGCGCTGCCGCGCGCGGAGGCTCGCGCGCGGAGCGGTCGGATCGTCTGGCGCGCCCGGCGCGGCCGCGGTGGCGCTGACCGCTGGGAGCTTCCCAGCGCGATGCGGCGCGAGAGGCCCGTCTTTACCAGCCTCGAACGTATCCCTATCCCTAAGATTGGCACGCCAAAAGGCGATGACAATCTTAGGGGTCCGCCCTCACAAAATAAGGGACTCCCTAAGATTGGCATCGTGATGAGGAGGTGCCCAGCATAGGGATAGGGATATGTTCCAGGCTGGTAGTTTCCTTGACGACTTCTGTTGCAGAACCACGTGTTGGTCCTATGGGTTTTCGGGGACATCGGTTTTGACATCTGGACGGAACAATCGGTTTTCAAAGGATTTCGGCGTGCGCTCGCGTGTGCACGTCGTCCCGTTTTTTGCAAGGGGTTCTTGCGACCGCACGCGCGCAAGGGCGTTCGAACGATTTCGACATGCGCGCGCCAGAGGCCAGTTTGGTAGCATGTCATAGACATGTTGAACAACCAATGGCTTTCTTAAAAGCATCGCAGGTTTTGCTTTGACATTGATGTTGCGAAACCATGTGTTTTTGTATGTTCGGGACACTCGGTTTTGAAATCCTTACGAGACCTACGGTCTTTGACTGATTTCGGCATGCGCGTGCGACGACGCGCGCGTGCGCACTTCGTCAGTTATTTTTTGTAATGGGGTTCATGAATAATGAAGATTTTTGTTAAGCGAGTGTGCGCGATTTTTTCCAAAGGGTGGATGAGGGGGGGGGGCATGCCGGCATGCCTCGGATCGTATTCTTCATATGTAGGATGGACGATGGGACATATAATCGTACAGTGCAACATGAAAAAGGGGGACCGTTAACTCTGTGGGGGAGGTAGACCCTGATACTCTTTTAGCAAGGAGAACATCTGTTGTGCAATCTATGTGGAGCAACCTATGTGGCGGCGGCGAGGAGGCATCCGGGCGGCGACGGCGACAACGTAGCCGCCAGAGCGGCAGACAAGCCCAGATGACAGGCGGCGACGAGGCGGAGGCGGGGCGGCGACGGCGACAACATAGCCGCCAGAGCGGCAGACTGACGATGGGCGGCGACGAGGCGACGACGGGTCGGCGACGGCGACACCATAGCCGCCAGAGCGGCAGACACGCTCAGACGATGGGCGGCGACGAGGCGACGACGGGTCGGCGACGGCGACACCATGGCCGCCAGAGCAGCAGACAGGCCCAGACGATGGGCGGCGACGAGGCGGCGACGGGGCGGCGACAGCTACAACATAGCCGCCAGAGCGGCAGACATGCCCAGTTCCTTAGAGCAGAAATGAGAGCCCATACGTGCAAACGCACTTTGGATAAAAAACTCTTAGGCAAACCTACTTTGGGAATGGTGAGGTGGGAAGGGGAGGTGCAACAAGAGGGAGAGAGGAAAGAGAGGAGAGGGGCAAGCGGGCAACGGGGTTGGTGGATAGAAGCTGGAGGTGGAGGCGGGAACATGGATAGATGCGGCCACGAGGCAAACATTCTAAGCAACTCAAGTGGCGCCGAATCTCGGCCCCGACGTCAATTGGGATCCGTCTCTCTCTCTCTCTCTCCCTCTTCCTCACTCTCTCTCTCTCTCTCTCCCTGTCTCACGCTGAAGGGATGTGTATACTGATGATATCAGAAGCAGCTATGACGGACATGACGTGCCTGTGTGCTCTGGCCCAGCATGCAAGAGCACCCTTTCAAGCTCGTGCATCGGTGGCATGCGGCACCCACAACCACCAGAGCCGAGCTACAAGCATGGCAAGATGCCCCAGCTGGACGGTTTCTCCTGGGGCCGTAGGCGATCCGAGGAGGGGGAGGAGGAGGAGGAGGAGGAGGAGGAGTAGGAGGAGGAGGAGGAGGAGGAGGAGGAGGAGGAGAAGGAGTAGAAGGAGAATGGTGAGGAGCAGCGAGGAAGTTCGTCGAGGACACAGCGCTGTCCTGGACTTGGAGAGTCGAGGCCTTAGCTCGCCTCTGGCTCTCACCGCTATGTAGCTGTGCCTGCGCGTTCCGCCCGCACTTTGAGGGCGCAGGTGGTTCAGGGCGCTTCCTCTTCCCAACCCCCTGATTCCCCTTCGGGGAAGGGTTTGCCCCTCCCACTGCCAGCTCCCCATGGGTCTGGACGGGAGGGGCAGCGGCGATTCATTGGAGTGTCCAAGATTGCCTAGGATGGCTAATTACACGAGGGCCCCAGAAACTCAACCTGTTTTCCACGATGTCTCAAGATAGCAAGAGGCCCCGATACCGCTCCAAGACGGGCCCATGTGGCCACGGAGTCTCCCAGGAGGCCCCAAGTCCTTCCAGCGCGTAAAGATAGTCAATGTTTTTGGCTTTCTCGCCCTCTCGGTTCCGATGGGCTCTTGGGGCCTCAGGGGGTGGCTCCAGAGTGGCCCAAGAAGGCCACCGAAGGGCGCCAGCCCCAAGAGGGCTCCACGATGCCCCCGGAGCGCCCGAGCACCCAAGAGCGCCCCAAGAGGTCCCCAAGAGGCGACTTTCGGGGCCCAAGAAGGACAGCCCCTGATTGGGGACCCTCCCTCGCTCAAAGCCAAAATCATTGAACAACTGTTGGTTCTTCGAACGTGTCGGCATCTCGGGCGCAAGCTTGAGTGGCCTGTAGCCAACGTAGCTCCAAGATCCAAGATGGCTCAAGACGGCCACGGGCATGCCTCCAAGAGGTCCCCAGACCGCTCCAAGACTGCTCCAACCAAGGAGGCTCCCAAGACATCCAGATCCTTCCCAAACCTTCAGACAATCAATGATGTTTGCCATCTCGCCTTGTTGCTTCTGATGGGCCTGTAAAGCCTCACGATGGCTCCAAGATGGCCCAAGAGGGCCCACGATGGCCCCAAGCCAGCCCGAAGAGTGCTCAAGAGCGCCCGAGAGTGCTCCAAGGGACGACTTTTAGGGCAAAGAAGGACAATGAGAATTAAGGATCCCCTCTCTTTGATCGAGGTCTTTTGCAAGATGGCCCCGCGAGGCCCCCTGGGGCCTCCAAGAGGGCCTCCAAGCGGGCCCCCAAGACGCCCCCATGTGGGCTCCGAAGCTCTTAAGAAATGGCTCCAAAATGGTTCCAAGAGGCTCCCAGAGCAGATGTACGCAAATACATGTACGTTTGAATTGTCGTCGTCGTCACCGTCGCATTCTCCCCAAGTCTTCCTCTCCTCCTCCTCCTCCTTCTCCTCCTCCTCCTCCTCCTCTTCCTCCTCTTCCTCCTCTTCCTCCTCCACTTCCTCACCCTCCTCCTCCTCCCCCTCCTCCTCCTTCTCCTCCTCTTTCCTCCTCCTCCTCCTCCTCCTCCTCCTCCTCCTCCTCCTCCCCCTCCTCCTCCTCCTCCTCCTCCTCCTCCTCCTCCTCCTCCCCCTCCTCCTCTTCCTCCTCCTCCTCCTCGTCCTCCTCCTCCTCGTGCTCCTCCCAACCAGGGTTAACCGTAAGTTGACTGAGAACGTCGTACATCAAACTCATCCTCCTTCTGCTCGCCCTCCTCCTCGTCCTGCTCCCTGCGCCTCCGATTCCTCCATCATCTGTCCTCCTCCTCCTCCTCCTCCTCCTCCTCATTCTCTTCCTCCTCCAACCTCCTCAGCCTTCTCCTCCGCTCATCCTAGATCGACAGGTCGGCGAAGGCACGCGTGTTTGACTCCTGGGTCTGCTCATGCTGATCCCAAACTTCGATTTGACGGCTTCCCTCGCTCTTTGTTCCACAGTATGCTTGCCCATGTCTCCGATCAAGGTTGTTCGCCTGGCCATCATTGCTGGATGGGCTGGTGAGGATGCGCGAAGCGTCAAACATTTGGGAAAAAAGCCTCAGAGACCAGTCTAGCCGAGGCAGGGCACTGCGTATGAACGCCCGCGCCACGAGGCTGACTCGAATTGGGGCTTGATTGCCAGCCTTCTTGACGGAATGCCAGCGGTTCGTTTTTCGCGCCAAGAACGGCGCCGTCGCCTGCAGCAGAGGCCGCGGCGGTACTCGAATTGGGGAGGCGAGCGCGAGCCTTGTATCAGGCCCGACAGGTCGCAGAGCGGCGCCCGGGGAAGGCCCCCGAGCGGCGCCCTGCAGCCTGCGAGGGCCTTCACGCTGCGGACGAACGAAGGGCCGGGACTCATGGGTCCCCGCTCCAGGTCATGCCGCAACCCGCGCGCCGCCTCGGGGGAGGTCCAGCGGTCGCCTAGCATCATCCACCAGAAGACTGGCCGATGCCGACGTCGCCAGCGCGCATGATGTTGGGGCCGTCGCCCAACTTCTTCGCCACGCTGGCCTGGGCCGGGCCCTTGGCGGCGACCTCCGCGCGGTCCTGGTCCATCTTCTCCTTGAGCGCCTTGAGCGCGGGGTCGGCCTCGATCCTCTCCTGACGGGCCTGGGCGCGCTTGGCGTCCTCGACCTCCTTCTTGTACCAGGGCTTCGCGTCCACGATCTTGCCCACGTGCTCCTGGAAGTCGAAGGTGACCGCGTCCGGCAGCACCAGGCACGCCCCGCCCTCCTCGGAGGCGTCCGCCCAGCCCATCACGCGCAGCAACGCGGTGGCGCCGGGCACCTCGGTGATGGACTCGGAGATCTTCTTGTTGGAGAGGCGGATCTTGCGGAACTTCTCGTCGCGGGGATTCCGCACCACGTTCCTGGTGAGCTTCTCGATGAGCTCCAGGGTCTCCTCCCACTTGTCCAGGGGCAGGCTCCGCAGGGCCCTCTCGTACTCCGACAGCGCCTCAGCCGCGCGGGAGTTGGCGCCTGGCGCGTACCCCGCGTAGCCCATGGCCGCTGGGACGCGCGTGGGCGTGGAAGGGCTGCTGCAGATGTCCAGGTTCTGCGGGGCCGCCGCGCGCTGGCTTCGAATTGCTATGGGCCAGAAGTATGGCCACGGAGGACGGCGAGGAGGAAGAGGGCATGACCGCGCAGCGAGTGGGCCCTCGGGCCGGATTCCAGTGTCTACCCCCGAGACGCTCTTCGAGACGCGCGGGCACAAGTGCAGACGGCATCCGAGGGCGTCCAAAGGCATCCGGAGGGCGAGGCGCAAGCAATCGGGGCCAGTCATGATGGTGCAAGGCGCGGATGTTGGGCGCTTGGGCGGCCAAATTGCAATAGCTGGCCTGGAATCTTGGTTAGCTGCGGCTGGCAACGAAAATGATGCAAGGCTCCAGTGTCCGTGGCGCAGCACCGCATCCTTCATTGGGCCCCCAACTCTACCATTCCGAAGGGCCCGCCCTTAGGAGAAGAAGGATGATGACGAGCATATGGAGGATGAGATGGAGGAGAAGGAGCAGCGAGGATGTCTGGGAAGGACACAGCACTGTCCAAGCTAGGACATGGAGACTCGAGGCCAGGGCTCGCTCACGGCTCTCACCGTTATGTACCTGTGCATGCGAGCGGGAAAAGAAGCCTCAGCGGCCAGCCTAGCCGAGGCAGGGCGCTACGTGTGAACGCCCCCGCCACTAGGCTGACCTGATTTGGGGCCCAAGAGCAGGCCTCCTTGAGGAAAAACCAGCGGTTCGTTATCCGCCACACTGCCGTAGGCACTGATTGGAGCGCCCTCAAGGCTTCAATAATCCCCAACTGGAACACAATCAATATCTTTCAGTCCCCGGGCCTCAGATTCCAAGAATGCCCAGGGGGTCTCAGGGTTCACACGACTTTTCCAAGGTTGTCGGCAGCGTGGAGCGTGGTTTGTGATCCACCCTTCACAGGTGTCCCCACATGGTGCCAGGGGGCCATCGTGGGACTCTTCGAAGTTTGCCGATCTTCAGAGCGTCCAAGACAAGACGACCCAAGAGGCCTCCAACATCGCCCCCAAACATGGAGACGGCCTGGAAAGGGGCCGCAATGGGGGAATCCGAAGAAGTCCCAGGAGCACTTTCCCCAAAGATGGCCCTCGAGACCGCAAGCAGGTCCTCCCCAGAGGCACAGAATAGGCCCCCAGAGGCTCCGAAGACGCCCCCAGCATGCCTCAAGAGGCCCCCGAGAAGCCCCGAAAGGGCCTTCGAGATGCACCCAAGAGGCCTGCCAAGAGGCTTGTCGAAGGCCTCTGGTCCACGACACTGGCACGATGACGAAGTGGGCCGAAGGCCACTAGATCCGCCGCCCTGGGTGATTCATCACAGGGGTGCATGGCGTGCTAGACGTCTGGACAGTTTTTTGGTTCTTTTCTGAAGAACTCCCCCTGGGGCTTCGACCCAGGCAGCCGGTTACCCGGAAAAGGTGAGAGGCAATGGTTTTCCGCCCGACATGGCTCCAAGATGGCCTCCAAGACGGCCAAGATGGCCCGAAATGGCCTCCAAGATGTCTCCAAGATGCCTCCAAGATGGCCAAGGTGACCCAAGATGGCCTCCACGACTGTCCCGAAACGCCTCCAAGGCAGCCCAAGATGTCCTCAAGACTGCCCAAAAGGCCTCTAAGACGCCACAGGTGGAGGCCAGACCCCTCGACTTTCGCACGTCTCCCAACGACTTTGGCGTTGCCAAGAGGCCCCCCCAGGGGCTCCCAGAGGCCCCCAAGAGGCTCCCAAGAGGCCCCCGAGAGGCCCCCAATGGGGCCCCCAAGAGGCCCCAGGAGGTCCCCACGAGGCCCCACGATGCCCCCAAGAGGCCCCTCAGAGGCTCCCAAGAGGCTCTCTTGAAACTCCCCAAGGGGGTCCATAACGGTTGGGGAACGCCTAGTCCAATAGCTTGTCCAGACTTCGGCCCAAACGTGTGGCCAAATAGGCGTAGCCTAAAAGGCAGGGGGCGGCGGTGACTCGCCGTGGGCGCCTTCGATGGCTTCGCTCCGCGCCAAGAACGGCGCCGTCGCCTGCAGCAGAGGCCGCGGCGGTACTCGAATTGGGGAGGCGAGCGCGAGCCTTGTATCAGGCCCGACAGGTCGCAGAGCGGCGCCCGGGGAAGGCCCCCGAGCGGCGCCCTGCAGCCTGCGAGGGCCTTCACGCTGCGGACGAACGAAGGGCCGGGACTCATGGGTCCCCGCTCCAGGTCATGCCGCAACCCGCGCGCCGCCTCGGGGGAGGTCCAGCGGTCGCCTAGCATCATCCACCAGAAGACTGGCCGATGCCGACGTCGCCAGCGCGCATGATGTTGGGGCCGTCGCCCAACTTCTTCGCCACGCTGGCCTGGGCCGGGCCCTTGGCGGCGACCTCCGCGCGGTCCTGGTCCATCTTCTCCTTGAGCGCCTTGAGCGCGGGGTCGGCCTCGATCCTCTCCTGACGGGCCTGGGCGCGCTTGGAGTCCTCGACCTCCTTCTTGTACCAGGGCTTCGCGTCCACGATCTTGCCCACGTGCTCCTGGAAGTCGAAGGTGACCGCGTCCGGCAGCACCAGGCACGCCCCGCCCTCCTCGGAGGCGTCCGCCCAGCCCATCACGCGCAGCAGCGCGGTGGCGCCGGGCACCTCGGTGATGGACTCGGAGATCTTCTTGTTGGAGAGGCGGATCTTGCGGAACTTCTCGTCGCGGGGATTCCGCACCACGTTCCTGGTGAGCTTCTCGATGAGCTCCAGGGTCTCCTCCCACTTGTCCAGGGGCAGGCTCCGCAGGGCCCTCTCGTACTCCGACAGCGCCTCAGCCGCGCGGGAGTTGGCGCCTGGCGCGTACCCCGCGTAGCCCATGGCCGCTGGGACGCGCGTGGGCGTGGAAGGGCTGCTGCAGATGTCCGGGTTCTGCGGGGCCGCCGCGCGCTGGTTTCGAATTGCTATGGGCCAAAAGTATGGCCACGGAGGACGGCGAGGAGGATGAGGGCATGACCGCGCAGCGAGTGGGCCCTCGGGCCGGATTCCAGTGTCTACCCCCGAGACGCTCTTCGAGACGCGCGGGCACAAGTGCAGACGGCATCCGAGGGCGTCCAAAGGCATCCGGAGGGCGAGGCGCAATCGGGGCCAGTCATGATGGTGCAAGGCGCGGATGTTGGGCGCTTGGGCGGCCAAAATTGCAATATCTGGCCTGGAATCTTGGTTAGCTGCGGCTGGCAACGAAAATGATGCAAGGCTCCAGTGTCCGTGGCGCAGCACCGCATCCTTCATTGGGCCCCCAACTCTACCATTCCGAAGGGCCCGCCCTTAGGAGAAGAAGGATGATGACGAGCGTATGGAGGATGAGATGGAGGAGAAGGAGCAGCGAGGATGTCTGGGAAGGACACAGCACTGTCCAAGCTAGAACATGGAGACTCGAGGCCAGGGCTCGCTCACGGCTCTCACCGTTATGTACCTGTGCATGCGAGCGGGAAAAGAAGCCTCAGAGGCCAGCCTAGCCGAGGCAGGGCGCTGCGTGTGAACGCCCCCGCCACAAGGCTGACCTGATTTGGGGCCCAAGAGCAGGCCTCCTTGAGGAAAAACCAGCGGTTCGTTATCCGCCACACTGCCGTAGGCACTGATTGGAGCGCCCTCAAGGCTTCAATAATCCCCAACTGGAACACAATCAATATCTTTCAGTCCCCGGGCCTCAGATTCCAAGAATGCCCAGGGGGTCTCAGGGTTCACACGACTTTTCCAAGGTTGTCGGGAGCGTGGTTTGTGATCCACCCTTCACAGGTGTCCCCACATGGTGCCAGGGGGCCATCGTGGGACTCTTCGAAGTTTGCCGATCTTCAAAGCGTCCAAGACAAGACAGTCGAAAGTGAGCCTGGTAACTCAAATAGCATCCGATTCCGTAGACATCGGATGGCAAATAGCGTCCGGTATCGTACTGACGTGGCTCAGTAAGAAGAATGGACGGATAAGATAGGATAAGATCGATGTATCGGTCTTTCCAGCACATAGCGAACACTCGCGGTGTCCGGGCAAATAGGGCGCGCGTGCCTTGAGCCAAAGGCAACGGCGCGCGAGCTATGCTCCCGATACTATAACATCTCCCAAAGAGCTACCCTTACAGTCGGGAGGGGAGGAGACGGAGAGCATAGCCGCGCAGCTGTTAGGCTCTACAAAGGCCGCGCGCACAACTGTTTGCAAGAAAGAAAACCGTGTGTACAGTCTGGCCTAACACCAGACTGTAAGGCGAGTTTCCTCGCAAAGCATTTCACGCAAATACAAAATAGCCCCTTCGAGTGATGAAGGGCTATCGGCTCAGTTAGAGGTAAGCCAAACGGGCCATGCCTCACCGAGCAAATATGTATTAAGGCAAAGAGCCTGTGTCATATAAAGCCGGCTCGTTGCCAGGCGTGAAATGTAAGGCTCGTTTCCGAGCAACTAGAAGGGCACCTCTGTAGTAGGCGCCCATGCTGGCAAATTGGACCGCGGGGGGCAACAAGGACAAACTAAAATTGATTAGACTTGGGTTTGTTTCTGTCCTCGGGACCCCGGAAGGGAACAAACTGCTTCACGTCATACTTGAATGACTGAGTGCCTGACATCACTTCCAGAAGCAGCTCCCGATCGATGCTTCCCTTTGTATGCCCGTCTGCGGTCATATCCCTAGTATCACACCACTGCACGTTATGTACTTTACCTATATCCATGAGCTCACGTATCCAACTGGTATGTCCAAGCAGAGTCCGCTCTGTCGGTATCTAAATATCCCTGCTTGATAATGATTTATAAACGGACTCGGCGTCTATGGTAAGAGAGACTTTGATAGCTAGGCCTCCAACTTCACGCATATCTCGTAGTTGTCGTGGAGCCAGAGCTCCTGCCTTAAGCTCGTGGAGAGTGATGGGCGTGGGGTAACGCTCATCGAGGTTATGCGCAGCTGCGAGTGCCTCCGCAGCATAGCTGGACCTCACCTGCAGTCGGTGTGATTTGCATAGTCCGTCACAGAGGTGAACGACGGACTTGCCTTGAGGCGAGTTTCCTCGCCGGAGTACATTAGCCCCGCGTATGCCGTAGCCCTTGGTCTCATCATCCTCCTCCCCGGTAAGCTTCCGATGCCCCGAATCGCTATGGATGTCAACTTCACTCGTCGGCTTCATCCGAGGGAAGGTGATGCGTTTCGGGCTGCTGGTCAGCTTTCGCGTCACAGCATTCAGACGTCTGACTTGCAGATTGGTGGGCTCTTGAATTTTCTGGAGAGAGACCACGTATACCATGAGCCAGATTTGAGTAAGAAGGGCATGGGCGAGGGCTCCTCGCAAGCTGACGAACATGTCGGTAATGAGTTTCGTGGCTTTGGCATCGGCCGCCGCTCCTGTAAGTTCTGGGTGTGTGATAGGACGTAGTTGTTTGATATACTCGTCCTGATCCATGATCACATCCCCTTGATCATTCTTAGTGTAGCGAACGGCGCAGTTCGTATATGTGTGTTTGTTGAGCTTGCATTTGCCAAACACCTTTTCGACACGCTGTACATAGTCGTCTATATTGTTCTCTAGGCCTGTCATGTTAATATCATCGACATGTTTTGCCGTTAGCAGATCTTGGCTGAATTCAAATTCAGGATCATAACTGGTCGATGTAAGGCCTATAGCTCGTGTGGTCGTACGAAGTTTGAGAGAGAACGCTCTTGGAGCGTCCTTTGTACCCGTTCCTGGTTTGAGGCATCTGAGGCAGTGTCGGCTTTCGTCATAGGATGAGAAGCCGGGTAGTGTACGAAGTACCTGGGCACTTCCCGGTGGAAGAGTGAAGCAGACCATGCGAGTTTCCTCGCCGGTGGCATGGGCAAGTTCCTCATAGGTCAAACCCTTGAGGAGCGCCTTGTCGATATCCATGGATGCTAAGATCCACTCTGGATGGCATGCCGCCTCACTTGCCAGGAGTCGTTGGGATTGCCTTCGGGCGGTTCCCGAGAATGTTTCCACATCGAAAGCCTCAGTGTCCATAAATCCGCGAAGGACAAGTCTGAGACGAATGGTTTTAACGTTCTCGGTGCCCACCTTTACAAACTTCCACTTGTATACATACCTGGATGTCATGATGTTGGAAGCTTTGGATAAATCATACATCTCAAAGCATCGGTTGTCAATCCAGATTTTGAGCTCAGTATACAAAGCTTCACTAACCTCCTTTGGATGTGCTGCTATGTCGGCTTTGGTCAGTAGATCATCTTCTTTAACGACCACAGCACGTTTAGCAGCAGAGGATACATATACTCTCATCGTTGCGACCATATCGGTGTCGAGCTGTGCAAGTTGAGTCTGGTCCAGCACTACTTTTGACATTTCTGATGTAAAACATAACTCAACGTAAGGACCATATTCATCACTGTCAAGAGAGTAGCTCTCGTCAGGTGTGGTTGAGCAGAGAGAGACTAGACAGGACTCTCGTGGTTCAGGCTCGTCTCCGAGCGTGTCCGATGATATGATATCTTCTTCGTCCACAGATGCTGAAACCAAAACACATTGGTCGGGCAGCATGGTTGTTGGGACGCAGTAGAGATAATCGTCGGTAGTCGTCGTAGGATGAAGGTCCATACGTAGCTCGTCGTACCACTCTTCCAGCATCATAGCTTCGATATTATGTTCCTCATTTTCCTCGTAGATTGTCGACAGACGGCCTTCACTCGGCGATGAAGCACCTGGGGTGTCTGGAGGAAGCCTGTTTCCAGGCGAATCGTGTTCTCCAGACGTGTTGCTTGAGTGCTGATATTTAGCTAGGTCGTCGTGAAATCCTAAGGAAGGGACACGTGACGTCAAGCATTGAATGAATCTGGAATGAGTGCTACTAGTGATCTGAGAAATGTTTAGGCCGGTGCCCACACACTCGTAGTAGTGGAAAGCCGGGCTGATATCGTTGTCATAGTGGATCAGCGTTGACCCGGCGGCGTACTTTACTGCAGGTAGGCTTGACACACTTTTGGCCAATCTAACTGCTACTACATGTTCTACTCGGAAGTAGTTTCGTACGAGATACTGTAGTGCTAGATGTACGCGCGGGTGAAACTTGCTGTCGTCTGAAAGATTGAGGTTTCCCTTGTAATCGGGGATATAGCCGAAAACTTTGGCAGGTTTCCCTGCGCCGAGGTGTGCCACATATGTAAGGACGGTTTGCATGGCCATATTATCCATGCCAAGTTCCCGTGTGAGGAGACATTCAATGTATAGTGTGTGGCGAGCATCAGGATACATCACAACTACCTCACGAGATCCAGCCTTGACAACAATATGTCCTCTTTCAGGCACATTGCGGATCACCGGGAATGGGCCATTCCAGCCTCCATGATCGTCCTTAGTGGCAGTGGGTCGGTGGTAATCGACCAACTCCCCTGCAGAGTAAAGGCGAGCACCATCAGGAATCGTTTTAGCCCTAAGAGCCCGATTTGTCTTGGCCACAGCAGTGGCCTGAGTTATGGCTTCTAGGCTGACTTCCCTCACACGACGTTCTCGTTCGTGTCCTGAAGTTTCGGGTCCCTTGGGAAAGACAAGGGTGTCGAGATCAGGGAGAAAGGAGGGCTGACGTCCTGTGTGTGCTTGATATGGCGATACTCCGTTATAAAACGTAAAAGCATTAGTAACGAAGATGCCTTCCGCCAGTACTCTAGTGAATACAACAGGGATGTTGTGTCTATTCAGTTCTTCCTCAATCATGTGGAGGACGCCTCTGAGAATGCCGTTTCGTGACTCAATTGAAGTCGCGTGTTGGCCAGGTGCTCGGATACGAAGTTCCGTGCCCTTATTGGCCATCATGGCTTTAGCGGCATCATTGTTCAGGGCGCCTTCTCCGTCAGAGTATAAGACTTTGAAGGGTCCGCGATAGGCAATCCAGCAGTAGTGGTAGGCGCCAAGGATAGTGTCACGTTCTCTGTCGGAAATTTCTAGGCCTGCTGCCAGGCGAATACAACGATCCATAATGTGAAATATGGTCCGTTTCTTGTAGAACATGAGGTCCATTTCGCCTTCGTCGAGCCAGTTACCGGGAAGGCTCACCGAGGGTAGTGTTGAGTTTCCTGGACGTTCCCATGCTCTGCATTCCCGACAGGTATCGCAAAC